ACTTCGAGGTCAGTTGAACCAAACTCATTAAAACAAACTGTCCGTTTCATGGGAAATGAGATCATATTGAAAGTGAAGTTAGCACAGTAACAGTTTTTTTACTACACTTTCATTAGTGTCAACTAAGTTAGTGCTGAGTTGAACACCTGTAAAGCAAAGTCTGTTTGTTCCCAAGGGAATATATGCATCTTATTTTAAACAGTTTAAAACACAAAACACATGAATGATGTTTGTTTGAGATGAGGTGAACTCTTTTCTGTTTGAGCTGAGATGAACTGTTTTCTGAGATGATGTTCTGTTTCTGAGGTGGCGTTCCCCTACATATGTATAAATCCTGCTAATGAACTTTAGTTCACCATTAAATCTCTAATGAACCAGATTCTACAAAAACATCTATATTTAAAAATGTATAGGTTTTCTTCATCATTTGATGTATTTGCGCTCGTGTATACTATTAATGTTCAATTTAGATGCGTGGTTTTGCTTCTTGTTCACATATCTATTGCTTTATCTTTAGCTTTGGTCATGTTTTGTGATCTGTACATCTGTGGGTTAAAATAAAGTTGAACTAAAGGCCGTCTGTCTTCTTTAAACATATATGACGGAAATATTCCTGAGATCCAATAAATTTGTGTTTTTTTATGATTTTCAGCTGAGTCAACAGACAGTCATTAAAAAGAAAACAGGATTTCATTATAAAGCCGGCACTGTTTATTATATTTTTAATCTTAAACGCAAAAATTTATTATTTTTTATTTTTATTTCACCCAGTCCTCTTCCCCCATAGCCTCGGAACCAAAACTAAAATCCTGTGTTATATTTCCGGCTCCGAGCTGAGCTTGTGACTCACAGAAGGCCGTTGCCAGACCCCGCCCGGTCTTGCGTAATCATTAAGGCCGAACCCCGACCCGGGCAGATGGGCGGACTGGGACGGGTCTGAGACAGACAGTGGAAGCGATTTTTAAAAACATTTTTGTATTAAAAAAAATTTGTTTTGTTTTTTTAAATATCACTTCCACCATCCGTCCCAGACCGTCCAGTCTGCCTGACTGCCGGGCGGGATCGGGATTCGGCCTTCGTGATTACGCGAGGCCGGGGTCTGGCAACGGCCTTCTGCGAGTCACCAGCTCTTATGATCCTTCGCGGTGCCCAGCGGAGCTCTGAGCACGCAAGGCCGGGTTCCGGAGCCCGAGCCCCGAGTCGGCACCATGGAGGATCTTCCGCGGTGACCAGCGGAATTCGGAGCCGGGGAGATGACGCCCTGCCTGGCCTGGCGCTCCGAGGTTCCTGGGGGAGAAAACCGGAGAGACCAGCAGAGCTCCACCCAGCTCGCTCTGAATTTTGTCGTCGGTCACCAAGCACAAAAAACGCCAGCACGTCAGCATTACCAAGGTGTTGTCATTATTGTATTTAAAATATTTAAAATAGGTCCAGCCGCTGCTCCGGTCCGAGAAATTGCGGATCAATGTTTTGAAAAGTTTCTGAAGGATCCAGTGACTCCGCCCCCAACCAATCAGTGACCGACAGTGTTCTGACGTCACGTTTTCGTACCTACTCGGTCGGGTTAGAACCACACAGCCAAGAGTCCTGAAAATAAGGGACAGGTTCTACGTACCGTTACTAATGGAAAAGTCTTGGAATCGGGCTGAGTCGATCCAGTCGGGCCGTACCGTTATGGAAAAGGGGCATAAGACTGAACTAGTTGCAGTGTTTCAGACTGAAGAAGTCTTTTGGATAAAAGACGAAACGTTTCAACAAAGAAAAATCTGTCCAGAGGACTTGACTCAACCTTGTTAGATTTTTCTTCCTGGATTATTGAGCATGCATCAGGATATATAATATTGGATCATTTTCCTCAAAAAAATCTGATGCTGTTTTAGGTGATATTTATGCAGAAATAAAGAGAACTCTAAAGGGTTCACAAACTTTCAAGCAAAACTGTAAATGTTTGTTTTGGGGTTGATGGAACTGAAACTCAGGATATTTAAACACATTACTTTAGAAAATAAAAAATACACCTGAGTCCTCACCTTTGTTTATAATAAAATTTGGTGATCGGTAATGATCATACGACTAGTTACAGAAAAGTTCTCATTACAGTTCAGAACATCTCAACACAGCTCACTTGTAAACACTCGGCGTATGATCTGTTCAAGCTCCTACAGCCTGAAAGACCGACAGAAAGAAGACAACAAAAAGTCAGGATAGGCAGGTTTCTGTCAGAGGTGGGTGAGGACCTATATGGGAATTATTTAATCACTTCATACGGCTAATTCAGCATCAGTCACAAGTCGAGGCTGTCTTAGGTGTACTCTAATAAAAGTGTTTGAAACAAACAAACTGTTTTGTATGTACTCGCCAACAAACAACTCCATTTTGGACACAAAACCGGGTAAGGGGTTTTGAGAGAGATTAGGTTTGTTTTATTTATGACATGTTTGAAACATGAATGATTATAATACTTCTTTATTGATACTTGATTATTATTGTTAAAAATAAAATTACCTTTGATTATAAATTGTGGAAAATAACATAATATGGGTTGGTTGATATAATGTTTAATTATAAATTATGGAAATAGAACATGTAAAGATAGCTATAATATTGGTTAGATGTGTAAACTAGGTCAGAACGATCCTGGCTCCTGTGGAACAATTTAAAACTTAATAATGTACTAAGTTACCAAGGGGATAATCAGAGTTTCACAGTCATTGTGGGATTATGTGTGTGGGAACTTAAACTGTCTAATGTAGAGATAGGATTTGCCACGTACTCAGTTTAAAGATGATGACTTCAGAAGTATGTGTATGTGTTTTATTGGAGAGATAAGAAGCAGGAAATGTCAGTAAGACAATTGTTGATTATTGATTGGAGGAAAATCTGGGTGGAGAAACGTAGTCTATAAGGGTGGAAGCAGAATTGACACACATGAGAATTGTGCAGGGATCCAGGGATAGAAGGTAATATACACAATTCTCTCTTGTTCATACATTTAAGTGTGTAAAAATAAATAAAACTTGTGATCCTTTCTGAGCAAACCAACCTGGAGAGGTCATTGGAGCAGATTTAAGACCTAAACATTATACTATGTTTTAACATATTTGTCTTGTTTTGTTCTTCAGAAAAGAACTTCCATTGAAGACAGAAGCTCTGTGTAAAGTCTTCTGGGCATAAAGCTGTGGCTGAGAGATATTCAGTTCAGTTCATTACAGGGCTGCAACAACGAATCAATAAAATCGATAAAAATCGATGATTAAAAGTGTTGGCAACGAATTTCATTATCGAGTCGTTGTCGCGCAATTATGCGTATTTCACAGCGCTACGGAGCCGTTTTGTTCACCTGCAGTTCATTGTCAATGCTGGCTGACTGAATAAAGTAAAAAAAAAAAACTCTGCAGCGTGAGTTGAACAGAGCGAGGGGGAGGCGGAAGCAGAGAAGAGGCGGTGTTTTCAACGGAAATTAAGTAAATTTTACAAATGATCGACACAGAGAAAACTGTGCGACCCAAGTCCTCCAAAGTGTGGGAGCACTTGATGCTTCACAAAGTTAAAAACTGTAACATGCAGCTATGAAAAAGTGACGACACGACACGGGAGAACCACGGAGATAAACGTAAACATGTCGAGAGTCACGAGGAGGAGGAAGGAGCTGAGCAGCAGATACAACTCGTCTCACTCCCAACTCATCATGTGTTGTAGGTGAGTCTCTACAATATTCACATTTGTTCTGTTTCCAAATGAGAAAATGTAACGTCAGTCTCTCTGGTAGCTGAAGCTGCTGCTTGTTTTAGATTAATGACAGTGATTTTTCTTTTTTTTTGGACTTTTTAGCTAGAGAGCCTGTAATTTGTGTTGCTAGCTTAGTGCTATGTCAGTGCCGGGTGGGTGGTGGGGGTGCAATTTGGTTTGGTAGGTGGGGTGCTCAGATCTGTTGATGGGGTGGAGAATCCCGCTTGTATAATGGTAGGGGAAACACTGAATTTAATTGGTACAAGCAGTGTTTAAATGTGATTTATAAATAAATCTAACACAAAGATAATAATGTAATGATTAAGCTTCAACTTTTAATTTGCTGGCAAAGTCTGAAGACACTGCAGGTATGGCAGGATGAATTGCATTTAAACAGGAATTAAAGTAATTTATTACATCTACTCAAATGTGTGTAATTAGGTATTTTATATGTATGTGTTTGTGTGTGTGTGTGTGTGTGTGTGTGTGTGTTTAATTGCTCTTTTAGCTACTTTTGCCTGAACCTAACACTGTAAGTGAAACAAGGCATTTCTTGAGTTGCTGTAAATTATGCTATAATATTTACTCTCTCATTCCAGAAAACAACAACAAACAATGACAGCCTTCATGATGGACAGACATCATGGACACCACAGCAAGCAGCTGTCTTCACTGAAAGCATCTTTAACATGATCGTCACTGACATGAGGCCTCTTTCGATGGTTGAAGACTAAGGCTTCATTACAATGATCCACACTTTTAATCCAGGTTACAATAATCCACACTTTTAATCCAGGTTACACTCTTGCCTCAAGGACACATTTTACAACGTAGCTACATATTGCGCAGGTATAAAGCATACATTTGTATATATTTTTGTGTACATTTATTTTGTTAAGCTATTTGACTAACTTTTATTTTTTATTATTCAATATTTTACTAACAGAATAGTCAAATAGCAACCTGTTTTTTGTGCGAATTGCTATGTCAGTCAAATGTTCAATTTTGGAATAAAGTGGTGGAAATTAAAACATTATTTTTTTGCTGATTCATCGATTAATCGGAAAAAATAATCGGCCGATGAATCGATTATTTAAATAAACGTTAGTTGCAGCCCTAGTTCATTACACCGTCCTAACTAGGGCTGTAAAGGGTAGAAGAGTGAAGAAAAAGCACCACCCTCATCTTCCTCACTCATATCTTCCACACGTATTTAGTGGGGTTTTTTAATCAATGAAACACATTTTCAAAAGTGTGTGTGTGTGTATTACTTGGCTTTCAGAAGAGCAGCTTTTGCATCCTTCACAGCGGTGGTTCTGTCTGTGAGAGCCCCTTCCAGGTCCTTCCACTGGGCAGACTTCTCATCAAATGGAGCCTGGATTTCATCAAACAAGTACAACAATGTAGCAACCAGGTTTTTAGAAGTTATCTTCGGGACAAATCACTGCCTGCTGCCTATCAGCATACTGCCAACAAACGTCTGGTTAGACATACATCATCATGCTTTACAGATAGAAAAAAATGACAGTTTGCCTTTTATTGTAGTGCTCACAACTGAACAGACTGCAAGTTGTGACAAATTCTTCTAAAATTTTTGTGAGTGGTTTGTCACCTTATCTCCACAACTGCACAACATAACTTTGATTAAAATTGATTTTGGAGGCAATGAAAAAGTGAATTAGATTATACGTTGCTGAATCTTAGCTTAAGATCTGTTGAGCATAAATGTAAAATACAACAAAATATATGTTGCCTTTAAATGAGCTATAACTTCCAGAACTTGTAACAAGGTGATCAGCAGACCCTGAAGCTTGTTGTTGTTTCAGCTTCCTCTGTTCCTGCAGGAATGATTCATTTCTCTGATGCTCTGTCTTTGATCACCTGACTCTGTTCTTGGTCTATGGACTGTGGAACTCGAGAGACAGTTGAGCTGCGCATGTTTGTACTGGCAGTTTAGAACGGGGGAGACCTGCACTGGCAGCTCAGAGCAGGGTGGGGAGAAAAAAAAGACGAGTGGCATCTTAGAGCGGGGGAAGGGAGAGACAGTTGAGTTGTCTGTACCTGCAGTTTAGAGCTGGATGGAGAGACAGATGAGACACGCGTAGTTTGTTTTTAGCTTTTTAGTAAGCTAGTATTACGCGCAGCTAATTAGCGTCACAACAGTACCGACAGGTGGAGTGGGGATGCACAATTCGGTGTGGTCGTTGGGCGCACTAGGTTCTGTTAAAGGGGAAGGGCGGGGCGCCCTGACGTATTACGTCATGAAATTAGCATATAATGATATCATTTTTTTGCCCAAGCAAGCTTTTTTTTACTGGTATTATCGTGAACGATATGATATGGCCCAGCCCTAGTAGGAATGTACAAAACAACAAACAAATGGTAAATGGTAAATGGACTGTACTTATATAGCGCCTTTCTATCTTATTTTAAGATACTCAAAGCGCTTTACACTACAATCTGTGTCCTCATTTACCCATCCACACAGCACTCTACTAGATCTCTACAAAAATAATTGAACAAATCATTCTAAAGAGACTAATCAGAGCTTTATCACATTCAAACACCGACGGGACACACATCGGCGGTGTAGTGGACTAGGCCTCCGACCAAAACCTGCCTCTGAAGACCTTCATGGGACAGGAACTGTTATTTCATTGATTTGAATCCAGAAATACAAATTAGCTCATCCAGAGACTGTCTAATTGTATCCTAAACTAATCAATTGAAAGAACACTTTCTTTTTTATATTATCATTACTATTTTACAATATCTTGATAATCAAAAGTGTGTTTAGTTCATACCATTTTTAAATGTTGAAGTGAACCACTCATTTTAAATCAACTGTGAAACAGTATTAATGATTTTTAATCCTCATTTAAATTAGAAATCAAGTTAAATGTCTATTTTACAAAGTAATTATGCATTTTTGATCTTCTGTCTGAAATGGTAAAGAGTGATGTCGGTCAAAAGTCGGAGACAGTCAAAAACAAGTTGTTAGAACGGGCTGTCGTGTTTTTAAAACTCTCAGACAGTAAATAAGAGAACTGGCACCTGCAGTGTTTCTCACTTCGCCAAAACATTTCTCTGTCTGTTCCTAAAACATTCTTGCTGTTTTCTTGACTTGTAAAAACCCTTTGACATCACTAGAACCACACCCCTGTTGGTTGCTTCAACCAATCAGGACTTACTAAAGTGACCAGAAGCAGAACTCTTTAAAAGTCGACACTTCCTGGAACTATTAGTCTTCTGAGTCTTCTGGAGTAATGTCTTCTGAGTTTTCTTAGGTTCTGGGAGAGTTCTAGCTGTTCTGGAGTTTTTCCTCTGCTGAGTGGAACTTCGGACTCAGTTTTCCAGGCTGATGGACTCATCCATCTCTGCTGTGGTCACGGCGCCTCGCTGTGACTATCACAAGGCGTATGCCCTACAACTCCTGAGGAAGTTTGTTCTGTAGAACGGAGTGTCTCACGACTTCTGCCGAGTCGCAGCCGCCCTGAGGAGACGCTGAAAGGTAGCGTGCCAGGGACCTCTTGACCGTAGCGGACCCATCCTCTGCCAAGGTAAAGAGTCGTCACGAGCTTCAGGCGAAGTGTACCGCGGGCGCTGCGTTTGAAAGGAGCGTGTTGTTCTGGTCTACAGACATACATCTTCCTCCACATCTCCCTTTAAACTCCTCCATATTTCCCATCTTTAAAACTCTTCTATCTTGCCAGTAATTAATCTAGAGATCTTCAGAAATGTCTGTTGTTTTTAGTAAGTAAAACGTGCCAAGTTTTATTAATCAGAACCAGATCAGTCTAATCAAGTGTAAAATGTTTTGATGTTAAAATTTTGATTCTGTTCAATAAATGACCACATTTGTTTTGATGGGTCAAAGAAAATTAACGTCTCATGTCACTGATTAAACCATCTACGCATAGTACCTCTGTCACATGGCAGTAAGTAGCTCGAAAAAGAGAGAACCCGTTATTTTAAATATGACTGTAGTGAAGCTCTGAAGCTAACCTAGCCCTTTAGAACACTACAGAGGCTATGGGGGGTTCAGTGTCTTGCCCAGGGACACTTCGGCATGTGACTACTGGTGGATTCGAACCCCCAACTCTCGCATTGGAGGAAGACTGCTCTAACCACTCAGCCACAGCCGCCCAATGGTATTAACGATATTAAATCTATTTAGGACTATCCTGATGCATGCTCAATAATCCAGGTAGAAAAATCTAAAAAAGTTAAATCTGGTCCTCTGGACATTCAAAAAAACAAAACAAAGCAAAACAACAAAAAAATGAAGAAAAGTTTCGTCTCTCATACGACAGACTTCCTCAGTTTCAGGTGCTGTATTCAGCTCAATCTCTTGAATAGCAACTTCTCAGAGTGGATCAACCAGTTTTGCTGCTGACAACCAAAACCAGCTGATCACATGCTCAAGAAGGGCCATCAGCCTAACAATGGATCATTAGCACCATTGGCTTTTAAACCCCAAAATACATTACGGCAAAGACTGGTTCATCCCAAAGATCCAGTCCCCCGGCACAAACAGAGTAATGTTGTGTATGCTGTTCAGTGTCAGGAGGGCTGTGATCAGTCTTAAATCGGGGAAACAAAACAGCCACTGGCCAAAAGGATGGCCCAGCAAAGAAGATCAACATCATCAGGCCAGGACTCTGCAGTCTACACTCATCTCCAGGCCAGCGGTCACTCTTTCAGGGATGAAGATGTGCACATCCTGGACAGAGAGGAACGATGGTTTGAGAGAGA